CATTTTCTACAGATGTAAAGAAAGATGCTGTACTTGTTTCAATTAAAATTAAAAAACATTTATTAAAAAAAAGAAAGAAAGAAATGTAGCCACCAGGCGACAAATGTTGACACATGTCACCTGAACAATTTAAAATAATAAGAAGTCTTTTATCTTAAAGTCTACCCAAGAACTTCCCATTAGCCATTGAAGGGACCTGTTCCAAGCGCAGAGTAGGCTGATCCGAGACCATCACCGGATGGGATCTGTGCTTTCCAAGAAGATGGAAGTTCTCCAAGCTTGAACGTATCTCAAGACAGCTTTGATCTGGTTATCCCCTAGGTACGATTTCTTCATTGTCAGTCAGTCGGTGAAAAGCGGCACAGTTGCACCCACCCATTACAACGTAATCTATGACAGCAGTGCACTAAAGCCTGACTACATGCAGAGGCTGACATATAAGCTGTGTCATATGTACTACAATTGGCCGGTAAGTAGTAACTTGCCCTAAGTAACCTTCTATGATTACTTAGACTGACACCAATTGAGCTGTAGGCTTCTTACTAACCTCAACATTCAAGGGAAGAAACTTCCTATATCTTATTCCAGTTCTATCTCGTTGCCCAAAAGCTGAATATTGAACCTGGATAAGGAATGGGTTTTATCTACCTGAATTAATAGGAATGGGAAGAAAAAGTGAATACAGTAGTGGTTTTAGCCTCAGAAAATTCCCTAAATGTCTTCAAGTTGGACTGAGTCAATAAAATAATACAAAAATGTAACAGGACCCACAAGCATTTGGATATTGTTACGCTCTGCAGCTCAGGAATGTACATACCAACACTTCCCCTATCAAGTTCAAAAGGAGTTTTTGATGATCCCCAACCCATCCGCAGATTTTTTTAAAATTTTTTATTACCTGGAGTCTCACATCAGTTTTTCTGGGTTTGAATGTGATGAATCACAGGGATACTTCTTTGGGAAATCTTAAGTTTTCTCCTAATCCCCCACACCGGGGGGGGGGGATATTTAATATTTCATATATATATATATATTTAGTGTATCTAGATGGTATCTTCTTGCTGGATCTGCTCCTGTCGAATTTCTATTCCATTCTGCTTAAAAAGTCCAAGGGGGTGAAATTCCATTCATTCCTAAAGACATAGGCCTTTTCAACCACTCTTGAAAGTGTATCCTAAAAATTCCTTCCTGATCCAAAGGCTTCAAGGTTGAGTATTTGTTGTGTCCCAGAATATGGCTATTACCTTAACAATGATGCTGATGTGCTGTTTTCTTCCTTTCTCTGCAGGGAGTCATTCGGGTGCCTGCTCCGTGCCAGTATGCCCATAAACTGGCTTTCCTCGTAGGGCAAAGTATCCACAGAGAGCCAAATTTAACCCTTTCGGAAAAACTTTATTATCTGTGAGACTAACAAGAGGAGACGGTATAATGGAATGGAAAGAGAATTTAGACCAGAGAGAGTTATTTTGTTAGAACCCCCCCTCCCCAAACAAAGTGCCTTAAAACTCAATTGAGTAGAGATTTGGTACTGTTGTATTACACACATCAATGATAGCTATGCCAAGGTTATTATCATTATTATTATTATTATTTTATTTTATTATTATTAATTTGAGCATGTAAGTTAAGTTTTTCATCCAGATCAATTTTTACTGGAGCATGTTACAGTTTTGTTGCCAAAATAGTGGTTTCATCAGCAGAGACTGAGTGTTAAGAATAAAGTTAATGTCAGTAAAACTTGTGTGTTGGAATCTGTTTTTCAAAGTGTAGTACCATGTAAGGTGTTTCACTAAAAATCCTCACTATAGTAACGATTGGCATGTAAGAAGTAGGCTAAAATTAAACCTAGTTTCATAGACTAACATGAGATTTTGGCCACGGCAAACCAATTGCACTTCTGTGTTCTCTGCTACTCTTGGTTAAACTATGTTTAGCCAACATGTCTGAATTTGCTTACACGTGTCTCATTGGTTAATTCAGGAGCCACACCCTTCTACAAAATATCAAATTTATTTATATAAAATAATTTACACATTAACAACTGTACACATGCACAGTTGCACACGCCCACACAATACTTTTATAACCACGAGTTTAGGCCATTTTTTTTCCTTTACATAAATCTAGCACACTATTATTTTACAAGAATTTACATTATATTTCTTTGAAGACACAATGGGGAAAAGCTTTGATCATTCATATTACAAACCTTCCATCAATTATAAAACAAAGGCAGTCTGAAAAGTATGTATAAACAGTAAAAAGAATATACAAATGGTTACAAAAGTCTTAAACAGCCAAATAATCTCTTTTTTTTCTCCCCCAGCATGTACGCAGTGGTTGTGTGATTCCGTCTTTCTTTCATATTCAGTCACAAGGGGTCAATATTCAACTTTTCTAATTTGAGAGACTTCTTGCTGGCAGTGGCCCAGGAATAATACAACATTTTTGTGTATTTCCTTTTGCGTATTTGACTCAAACACAGTTTCGGTGCTCAACAATACGGAATCCCCAAGCAACGCCCACCTTAAATCTGCATTGTTTCTGCCGTAATCTTATCCTTTTTTTTTTAGCGTACTTGAGAAGCTGAAGAGCAGCACTTCCGCAGATGGTTGAAAATAATAATAATAATGAACATTTGCACAACATTTTCACACTCCCAGGAATTAATACCGGACACAAATCGGATTCCATCGCCTTTTTAAATGATGGGCGTCTTGGTGAGAATGGACCATTTGTAGGTCAACACAGAGTACATAAAAAGTTTACGCTGTAGTAGAATTCAGACAGTACAAATAATTGTGCATTTATAAGGCAAACATCAAGGCTTCTGGCAAACTAGGAGTTTCAAGACCATGTACGTGTCATGTAAGTAAATACGGGGATCAAAGAACAGGATTTTTTTATTAAAAAGTTTTTAGGTTTCTTTGTTTTCCACTTTCAGGGAAAGTGGAAATAGGAATTTAGGAATGGGGGGGGAAGGTAGAAATAGGAAACAAAGCCCCTTAGGATTGCTGCAGGTTTAAATTCCTTAATCCCATCTTCTCTAAATAGAGAGCTGAGGTGGCGCAGTGATTAGAAGGCAGCACTGCAGGCCACTTCAGCTGACTGCCAGCTGCAATTTGGCAGTTCGAATCTCACCAGGCTCAAAAGTTGACTCAGCCTTCCGTCCTTCCGAGGTGGGTAAAAGGAGGACCCAGATTGTTGGGGGAAAGAGGCTGACTGGCAACCACTTAGAGATGGCTTTAAAAGCGCTGTGAAGCAGTATATAAGTGCTATTGCTAAATGTTTTTGTTTTGGGGGGAAAAAACGTTATCAAAATGCTTTTTTTCTTAGCATCACTGCCACGCTGAGCAAGACCAATCCAGACAGAGAAATTTCTGGAGACAACCGAATGCTCTTAATAGTAATAATAAAAAAAATAGGAGGGGGGAGGTTGGGGGTCCTGAAATCCCTAGTTTTGAGCGTTTCTAGATCGGTCTGCATATGGGTATTTATTTTTTTAAAAAAGTGATGGTTTTATTTATTTTTTTAGAGGATGTCCAGATGATTGTAAGTTTCATTTCACAGCACCAAGTCTTTTCAGAAGTTTCTTCCCTTTGGAAAGCAGACCCTTTGTCTTTCTTGAAGACAGCTCCCTGCCTCGCCTGGGACTACCAGAACCCATAGCTGGCAGAGGTAACCCCGAGTGGAGATGGGCCGTAGGGCTTGGTGCTCTCCTTGGTGGTGTACCTTTGTTCTCAGGAGGTACCTGATAGGTATAGTTGTTAAGTTTACTGAAGGGTTGCAGTCACGGACAAACAAAGCTTTTTTTAAAAAAAATCATTCATTAAATCAGGGTTTGTCAATCATGGCCTGTTTAAAAGACGGGTGGACTCCCAACTCCCAGAATCCCCCAGCCCTCACCAATCTAGAGTGCTCCATCTCAACCACGGCTGGCTGGAGGATTTGGGGTGTTAGAAGCCCACCTGTCTTTAAAGGGGGTCAAAGTTGATAAACGCTGCATTAAACACACACAAACACACACACCTTTTAGAGGGCGGGAAATTTTTATTCCTCCTTTAAAATATGCCACGTGACAGACGCCTTCCGTTCTCCCGGAGTGTGTCAAAAGACGTGTCCATTGAATTGGGCTTGATTTATGTTTTTAAAAGCTGCGGCATGGGATCTCTGAAGCCTTCTGCCTATTTTGGAAGAGCAGCCTCTGAAAAAAATGGCTTTTACTTTAAAATTGGGATCTGGATTTTGGCCGGATTCCCTTGCTTCCCAAGGAGGGAATCTGGGGACTCCCACGTGGCATACGTCTTAAGTCGACTAACCCATTTCCGGGAAGACTAGCCCGATTCTTGCTGCTTAATCCACCCCACCTCCCTCGCCAACTTTTAGCATTCTGTCGGGACGTATTTTGAGAAGATGGCACACTGGTGGAAAGGGGAAAAGAAACCCAAACAAACCAAACTAAAACGAACCTTAATCACGATCAAAGAAAGCTCTCCAAGACCTTGGGTTGAACGCTTCTGGGTTGGGTGGCACTCTGCACATGCCCAATGGCATTGAAAAGGATAACACCGTGAGGAAAAAAGCCAAAATGGAGCTCCTAACAACACCCAACGTCCCTCATGTTACATCTGTTTGGACATATCAGTGGGTTGGTTCAGCCAAGGAGGTCCCAAGCTTGCTTTGATCTTCAATCAAGGTCTTGTCTAATGGGGGGGGGGGGAAGGGGAGGGGAGAAGCCAAAGGGGACCCTCTTCTCAGTGCAACCCCAACATACACCTGAAGATACCATCTGTGGAGCGTTAATGCGTTTGCCCACCGATCTCAGTGGCACGCTTTCCTTTCAGCTTATTGCATTGGTCAACCAAAGGCTGCTGAGATGTTGATGGGCAACTATACACCAGGAGAGCTTTTAAGGCCAACTGACCACCAGACATTGAAAGTTAAGTGGGCTTTCAAAAGAAGGAACTCAACTCCTCTCTTCCCACTGTCGGCCGGGTTGTTTAGTCCAAAAAGATTAAAGGTAAAGGTTCCCCATGCACATATATGCTAGTTCGTTCCTGACTCTAGGGGGCGGTGCTCATCTCCGTTTCAAAGCCGAAGAGCCAGCGCTGTCCAAAGACTTCTCCGTGGTCATGTGGCCAGCATACCTAAACGCCAAAGGCGCACGGAACGCTGTTACCTTCCCACCAAAGGTGGTTCCTATTTTTCTACTTGCATTTTTTACGTGCTTTCGAACTGCTAGGTTGGCAGAAGCTGGGACAAGTCACGGGAGCTCCCTCCGTTACGCGGCGCAAGGGATTTGAACTGCCGACCTTTCTGATTGACAAGCTCAGTGTCTTAGCCACTGAGCCGCCGCGTCCCTCTACAACCAGATTACTCAGCAACAAATTTTGTGGTGGTGTTTTTTTTTCGATCTCCCCAATTAGCTTAACAATGCAATATGTAGCTTTTCTTTGGAATGAGACACTGGGAATACTTTTTATGCAAAACAAGCATTAAGGCCAGGAAGAAATATGCTCCCAATATTCCAACATTTTCTCCCTGGGTGGGTTAAGCGAGCCTTAAGCCCTGGACACAAGATCCCATCTGTGTTTCTTTTATAAATCAGAAATTCTCCATTCCTAACGTCGTGCCTTCTATGACTGCTGCACTAGCAGCTGGCCACCTGGAGGGGATGGGACTTGTAGTCCACCGTCGTTGGAAGGCATCAGATTGGGAAAGGGCAGCCCTCATTTAAAAAGAAAAAAAACGCAAGATCTGGATCCAGGACTTATGGAATTTCGGAGACATATTTCTCTCTTTTCGGTCCCCAGATGGCTCGCATTATGGGAGGCCAACTTATAGGAACCCAAGTTATCTCCTGGTATCTTCAGTTGCACACTTACGTGAAGGCAACGTTGCCCGTTTTTTAAGGTGTGAAATGAACACTCTTCTTCTGTTCCCAAGCAGATGAGCAAAGAAATAAACAAAATATATATACGTAAAATATAATAAGAGGGGGAAAAAACTGCAAGGATGAGAAAAGACACATGAAACCCTTCAGAAGGGAGCATTGATTGGCAGCTCAAAACATCGCTTTGAAATTTGGAAGTTTGGCGTGGTGTTCCCCCACCCCCAAAAAAAGGAAGTGCCTGAAGTTTTACATCCATCCATCCATCCATCCCCAAATCTACTGTCTTAGGTAATTTCTACATCAGGTCTATAATTTACAGATATAAACTGTTCAAGGTGGGGAACATATATATGTATGTTTCCCACCTTGAAAATCTTGAATTAGTGGCTCCTAAATTAGCGTGAGATCAATCATTGATGGAAGGAATCAATTGGTTTAGAGCGAGGAGCTGTTTTGTTTTTCGTTTTTTTGTCTCCCAGCTTCAGAGCGATCTAAAAACTTGGTTTCAAAAATTGTGTTTCTTAATATATCTATCTATCTCTATATATATACATATACATATACATATGTACACAAACACATTCAAGCCAAACAGAATCTGAAATGGTCGGCAAGGGGAACAAAGCGAAAACAACAGTTTTGTTTTGTTTTATTCTCTCTCTTTTTTTCTCAATGCTTGCTTACCCTTTTTGCTTTTGTACGCATGGTGGGTGCATCTTGAGGGTACCGCGTGGGCGCGTCGGATAAATAGACTTCGACATCATCAGGCACTTCTTCAAGAAAATTTGAAGGAACGAGACCCGTCTGGTTGTTAAGTTCCCCCTGAAACATGGAAACGGAAGGGAGAAATTAACGAACAATCAAGGAGCTTCTGGAACAACATTTCTCAACCATGGTGACTTCAAGATAGGTGGACTTCCAGAATGGTGGGATTCCTGGTCAGCTCTGGCAG